AATTTGTTTTCTTACGATGTAATACGATATGATGAAGAAGAACTTATAGTAATCCCCAGTGTGCATGAGTCATTTACTGGCTTCTAAATTTTTCTTCGTCTATTTTGTTTTAAAGTTGATATGTATTTGATGAGATACTCTATATGTCTCTTTAGTTTTGTGTTGACACAATAATTTACTAAATATTATAATGTTGATTATTGTCACTCTGAGTTTCTTTAACGAGAAATGATGAATATGTTAATTTTGTTATAAATTTGATTGATTTTGAAAGATTCGGAATCGGAACGGATATGTTTCTTTGCTAATATTAAAATCTCTTCACGCCGATAATTATATTGGTACTATATACATTGTGCGAACGTACTCATGAACGATCGTCAAAGTATATTGATATCCCAAGTAGACAAAAAATTTTAATAACGCGTGCAAACGCACATACCTTCTCGGACGTGTTCGGATGGCAATCGATGTTCCCGATTGTGTGTCACTAACGGCAAAAAGAATACGACGTGAAAACACTTACTGTTTCATGCTAACGGAAATTGTAGCCATGTATTATCCGTAGAATTTTAGTCGTTTTCACACCTGCTTGACTTGGACGCTTAAAAGACGTATTTTATCATAGTGAAATATTTTTCACGTTTGAACGGCCTGTTTTTAAACCTACTTTAGATTTATTATTTATAGATGTTTGTGACTCACAATCGGGAGCATCGATTAGCATCCGAACACAGTTAATAAAATTACACGTTTCCACGGTGTCTATTTTACTATACTGATATATTTTCACGTTTCAACGGTCGGTTTTTAAAACCTACTTTGGATTTAGTATTTACAGAAGTTTTTGACAAACAATCGAGACCCTCGATTGACAGCCAAAAGCATCTGTTTTTTTTTCAGCGTTGAAACGCGAGTTGTGAGAAGATTTGTAACGTGTCAGTGTCACAGGATCCTGTAGGAACTATCACAAAAAGTGATCGCGAGTCATGTTACCTTGCGGTACACCACGAGAAATCGTTCGAGCAAGCAGTATTCCAGCTGGAAAACTACCCGATTTATACCGATGATTTCTGCCACATATTACTGAAACATACAGCAACATGGTCAGAGCTCATTGGAAAAAATTCGAGCCGCTTCTCTCCGGATTACTGCTCCCATGTTCAAACGATTCTCATTGGTTTTCTGCAGAATAAACTGACATTCTCACCAGGCTTCCGCACAGTTCCTGCACGATCCGCCCACTGGAACAATCCACCTGCGACGTTGCATCTAAATACAAATAAATTAAATCATCAGGTTTCTACTTATGAAATCGAACTTACTACTATTACTTGTTAACCTGATGTTGGATCTAAATACAGATAAAATAGTTCATCAGCTTTTAACTTTTCATATCGAACATACCATTGCCATTTGGTCATCAGCAGTTGAATCTAAATAGAAGTAAAATAATTCATCAGCTTTTAACGATTTTGAAATCAAACTCACCAGTATTATTTGGTCATCTGCTGTCGAATTGAAACTAAATGGAATTAAAATAATTCATCCGCTTCAAAACTCTTCATGTCGAACTCACCATTATTATTTATTCATCTTTCATGTCACTGAAAGATGTTAAAGGGGACAATACAATAGCAGTGCATCTATAGAAACACACGTCTATTATTATCTGAGAATCTGAATTAATTCAATAACGCACAGTAATAGATGAAACAAATCGAAACTACCATAACAATAAAGGGGGACATCTAAAGTCGATTAGGTAAACATATTGATTCAAATCAAAACAAATATACGAGGCTTGCTATAAAGCTGCCAAGATATACAATGAACTCAATAGTAAAATAAAACTTAGGAGAAACATACACTACAAAAATACATACACATGCAGAGGTACTAAAGAATGAAAGTAGGTGAAATGCAAAGATGAAATGAAGGAATTTTACATAGATTTTATAGCAGAAGTAAACAGAAATTGCTAAAATAATTCGATGAATACAAAATAGAACACACGACGTATCAAATGAATAAAATTTTCCAACTAGCGAGATTAATCAAAATACGTTTGCACCAAAAGAACGTAACACCACGCAACATAGTGGAGTAAGATGTAATGGAATTAGACTAACTAACAGAGGAACTATATTAGGATAAAAGCTAATCACTAACCACAAAACTAGGCCAGCACTGACAAAAGTAAGCACCCAGAACTATAGCGAATGCCATATCAGATGTGAGGTATCTCAACAGGGTGTAAAAATATACGCAAAACCAAAACGAGATCGAAAAAAAAATAAAAACAAGCACTTGAAACTAAATAACTTACAATTCTACTTTTTCCGGAGAAATGAAGAGGAAAACGTAAATCTAGAATAAATATGTGAAAATAAACAAAGCTCGAACCAACAGATAAATCAGCTCGACTTATTCAAATAGTGAGCGCGTCTGAGAACATAGAAGACAGAGGAAGCAATCGAAAAAGTCAAACAAAGAAAAAAAGCTAATGCCTTCAATAATAAACCAAAAATGGATCGAATCATATAAAGCATAATAAAAAGAAACTATTGATCGAATAAAACATGTTAGCTAATCATTCCACGAAACTCAGTGAAACTGATACAAAAAAATTAAAAAAACATCACATAATCTACTAAACGACACCAAAAAAAGACAATATTAATAGATCGAATAACTCAACTAATTGAATCAAAGAAAAACAAAATAGAAATCGAAAGGGACAAGAAGAGAAAAAAGAGCGAAACCTGAATGGGCACATTTTAAACCACAACAGTAACAAAAATAAGAAATATTAAATAGACAATAGGTTTTGGAACCAGTGAACGGTAGAACGAGGAAGTGGCAGTGCTTAAGCTAGTTCTATACAATATAGAAGGACAGACAAAAGAATGTCTCGAGAAAAAACAATGAAGAAAAGCTAAGTAAATCAAACTCTAGATGAAATAGACTACCCATATGAAAGCGATGTACAACGATGATAAAAAATATAGTTTCTAATAATTAATTTAAGCGTTGAACTAATGAACTGAAGGTGAAGAAAGAAAAACGCGGAAGAACGTAACGTTATTCACGAAACGGAAGTAATCAGAACGATAGTGAGTCGAATATCCATAGTACCTTTATATAGGAGATATAAAAAGAATTGAACGGAAATGAGAAAAGAAAAGAAGCTGAAACTAAATAAAGAAATATTTTCAAATCTGAAAGGCACTTTTATTGGTCATTTCAACATAGGATCCAAATTTTAAGGAATGGATGCTCGAAATCTTGAAAAGGTATCTTCTATCTCAACGGATGATACAGAACACGGCTAAATAGATGAATAGCTAACTTCACAAAATAACTACAAAAAATAAATAACTTTCCGTGCAGATGGAAGCATATGTTGTGACGAAATTCTGCAAGAACGATTTAAAAAACGAAAGATTGAATTAAATGTGAAGTACTAAAGGAAACAAGGTGAATCTAATTTAAAAAATATTAAAGAATATTACATTATGCAATTAACAAAAGCTGACAGATGCAATGATGATCAATTGAATAGCCCAACACACCTAAGAAAATGCAATCGCTACTTCGATATAGCTAAACTTAGTTGAAGAATTATTCTGAAATAAAGAGCCAACGTAAATAACAAAGTTTTTAGCATAGATTGAAAATTTCAACAAGTAAATAGTGAAATTCAAAGAGAGACTTGTTAACTATAACAGTGATCTGGAACATAGAGCAGTAGACGAAAAGCTACGTGAGAAAATAAGAACTAAGGAAAGTGTAATAAAATATTCTCTCCATGGAATTAATCAACACTATGAGAATAGTGTATGGTGATACTAATAAAAAGTAGACATTTAATTAAATATATCAAACACTCAACGAAATGTAGGGAAACTTATAAAAGAACGTTCAATAACGTTAACGTTACTCATTAAATGAGCGACAGCAGCGAGTAATGAATGCTCGAAATGGAAAGAAGTATTCACTAGCTCAACGGGTGATACAAAACATAGCAAGCTACACGTATAATTAACTTTAAAAAAACTTGTAAAATCTAATTAACTCACTCCTTACATGAAATACATCAAAGTTTCGAGAAAGTTCCACAATAACAATTAAAACACTTTTGATACTTAAATGAGTAAGATATTGAACAGGGCTAATAAAATCTAATACAGTAAACACTTAGAAATACAACTTCATGCAACAAACGAGATGAATGTCGAACAATAATAAGTTAAATATCATAACTAACCTGAGATGCGATAAAGGGTAACCAGAATTGAACGAAGACGCAAAAAACAAAACAGTATAGTGTGAATGGCGCATTCTTTTCCCCAAAACAAATCAACGCCAAAAGTGACATTGTAGTAGTAAATGAGGAAGAAAACTAGTAGGTAATAAAGTTCCGTTAAGAAAAATACTTGCGTACGTAAACGAGTCACAAAGAACTGGCCTGACTAGATTAATAGTCGTCCAAGAAAGTAACTGGAAGAAGTTACATAGCTGACACACAAGATGAAATAAATCGATATTGTGAAAAATTCTAACAGAATGACTAAAATAAACTACACGTTGAACTTAATATGTTCTAGATTGAACAAAACCAAGTGACTGTAACAGAAAAAAACTACAGAAAATAAACGTCATGTTATTAACGAAAGCAAACAGCTACAACGATAGTAAGTTGAACAACTAGACAAAACCTAAGAGAATGCAGTTGATACTTCGATACAAATGAACCTAGATGGTGAAACATTCTCGAATAAAAAAGTAACTTCCATAACAAAATTTTGAGAATAGCATCAAAATTTCAACAAACGCATCATGAAAATAAAAAAGAAATTTGCTAGCTAAAACAGGGATCTGCATGGCACATGGTGAAATACATTAAAACTCCACTTCATCCTTTTCTCTCTCGAGAGCAGACGCACAAGCGCTTACTTACATTCCTTTTTTAACGTCGTCCTCCTCTTCGTGCTAGAATGAGGGGAGGAATCAACAGTAACTACCGCTCTAATAAAAAAAGTCAATCATCAATTCTGCAACTAAATACTTCAGCTATTAATGCAATGGGACAAAATAACAATCGAACGAACGCGAAAAATATTAACACAACAGCAGCCTACAATTTGGAAGAAATGATCGCGTACATCCGGCAAAACCCCAATATAGCACTAGGTATTCATCATCATCTTACCGAAGCTCCACATCTGCAACAACTTCATACTCCAATTGAAGCTTCAACACCACAAACACCTAAACGAAATCTTGATTCAAGTGATAGCAATGATGCACAAATATCAAAACAGCAACGCGTTTTATCGAACAGAAAACAAAAAGAATATGGTCAAATGAATGTATCAACAGCTCCAAAGGCGTCACTTCCTTTGAATAATAATATTGTGCTAGATCAACACCAACCACAAATATCAGAACATCAACAAGGTCGTCTCCCATTTGAGCAGCTGAAACGAGCTGTTTCAAGCAACCTTCCGTGTTTTTTAATTGAATATGATCAAGATGTCAACTCGAAGAATCGTCCATCCGATATATCAGCAGCAAGTTTTCTTGAAGATCACTTCAAACAACAAGGAATCTCAATCACTTTCTCGCTCGTCGGTCATTCAGGTATTAAATTAAAATTAGGCGTAAGCAACAAAGAAATGTATGCAGCATTAATATCTACTGATAAATGGCCGGCACAAATCAATAATATCAACATCACTGTCATAAAACCAAAATTTATTCCTGATGCTTTCGCTCTTGTAGTACGCTACATACCTCTTCAGTACAATGAAGAATATGTCAAAGAAGAAATTGAACGAAATCTTCAATCAGTTGAAAATGTTAGACGCATTCAATATCATTTTCAACGAAGAACAAATGATTTTCGATTTGTTGTTAAAGATTTACGGGAATATAATTCTACGATAAAATTAGGTCGAATATCGATTGGAAATACTCTCTGTACCATTACTCCATTCCTGACCGGGAATCGTATGACATTTTGTACTCGTTGCTGGTGTTTAGGTCATATGAGAGATAAATGTGAACTAGAAAATCCTCGTTGTCGTATATGTCTTGAAAATCTTATCAATGGTCAAACGCACGTATGTTTGAATAGAGCTCGCTGTGCTCAATGCAATGGCGATCATCAATCATTATCTAGTGAATGTAATAAAGTAGTAGAATATCGATCAGAATTAAAAGCTCAAGTCAACAATGCGATATCGTCAGGAAAATTACACCGATTAATACCTCAAGAACGCACTCAATCAATGGAGTTTCAAACAAAGCAAAATGAATTTCCATCATTACCACAGTGTATGTCTGGTGCAACACCGTGGAAACTGGCTTCATCACAACAAGCAACAACAACTAATATAAATGGAAGTGAAGATGTAACAAAAATGCTGATATCGATAAATCAAAATATTTTAGATATGAAGGAGTATACTCATCGTATTGATGAAAAATTAGATCGTATTAACGATAAGGTCAATCAAACTGCTCTAGATACGGAACTTCATCAAGCAACACTGGAGAAATTATTACCTATATGCGCATCAATCGTTTGTGACTTTATTTGGCCCGTGATGGCTCAGAACGTTGCTGGACTAGGTGACAAACATTCACAATTGCAAAAGCTATTAAGTAACGTGGATTTGTTATTACGTGATCTAAAGTCGGACTACTCAGCTCGACGTAAACGCAGTACATCTCCGCCACCACAGCTCTCGCCATCTCAACAACCTTCAAAATCGCCTAATATCACTACGAACATTGAACTTGATCAAAATATGAGCAAATAGATGAGTATCAGACTTTCAAATTTAAGAGTAGAAGCAAATTCCTTTTTTCCCTTTCAAACAGCTAATCCTATAGAGACGGCGATGAAACAGTTTTGTCAATGGGGATTCCAGGAAAAAGATCAAAAACTAGTGGAAAAAATTCTTGTAGAATGGTTTACATCAGGTACTCTAGAAAATATTCTCTTACAATGGGAAAATAATTCACCTAAAGAAATTCAAACAGAAAGAACTTCATTAAATATTCTCTGTTATAACGTGCAAGGATGGGGATCGAGATGCCTTGAGGTAATTGACATTGTTTATAAAGTAGAAGCCTCTATTTGTGTTTTTACTGAAGTCGGAGAGCTGTGGAATACATCTCGAGTGCCTCATTTTAATATTTTTCATCAACATGGTACAAATAAAAGCGGAGGAGTATGTGTAGCAATAGGAAAACATTTAAAAGGTACGAGAATAGAAATTAATGTTGAAAATACTGTTATTATTGATGTTAATGGTCTTTCTGAAACAATAAGAGTAATCGCTATTTACTGGCCAGCTGGTCAGATCATGATGTTAGAAGATTTAGAACCGTATATCATTGAAAACACAATTATCACTGGTGATTTCAATGCATCCATAAAAGAATGGGGTAGTGAGTCATCAGATAAAAGAGGTAGAAACTTGAAAACATGGGTGGAAAAAAATAATCTTTGTTACATTCCATCGACACTGCATTCTTCAAAACGTTCGAATAGAAACATTGATCTATCATTTACAAATATAGATGAGGTAAGAGGAGAGACTCTGAAAATGGGTACCAGTGATCACTGGCCACTGTTGATAACATGTGAGAATGTGGGTTTCGATAAGAATAAAATGTTCCCACATGTAAATTGGAAGGCGTATGAAGCCATTCTTACGCTGTTACAGGATTTTTGGACAAATGAGCAAAATAGAGGCATGCAAGCTGATGAGTGGTATATGAATTATGTACGTTTTCTTGCTGCTCTAAAAGTCAGACTTACACAATGGAAAGAAAAAGAAAAATTCCGTCCATCACTACCGCCTTATCTTATCCAGAAACTGAAAGAAGTAAAAAGAATAAGAAATAAATATTATCATGAGAGAACAATATTTAATATAAATGAAGAGACAAGAGTGCTATTACGTGTGATGTCACGTGAAGTAAAGATAGAAATTGCAAAATATAAATCGAGTAAATGGCAGGAGTTTCTGTCTAAAATTCAAGAAACACATGACAACACAGATAGAGCCTTTTGGTTATATCTCTCTCGGATATATAAACATAAATCACTACCCTTTTCGAAATTGGATACCGGTAAAACAGTATTGACAAAAGAAAACGAAATTAGCGATGAACTTTATTGTTATTATTCAGAACAGTTTAAAGCACAAAATACGGATATGTCAGATCCCCATGAAAATCAAATCGAAACAGAGTACCTAGAATTGATGAATAAAATTCCGATATTAAATGAAAAGATTGAAAAGACGAATTTTACAGAAATAAAAAAGCACATTTTAAAGTTGAAACCGAAAAAATCATCTGGTTTCGATGCAGTATCTAACTTTATAATCAAAAGAATTCCACCTGGTTATATTAGTTGTTTAGTAAATTGTTTTAATACTTGGCTAAACGAACACAGATATCCCGATATGTGGAAATTAGCTAAAATAGTTACACTAAATAAATTAAAAGCAGGAATACCTCGTTGTGACCAGACTCGACCAATTTCACTATTGGCTACACATTCAAAATTATTCGAAAAAATTATGCTAGAAAGACTGAGATACTGGGCAGAAACTAATAGACTAGTACCAGCTGAGCAGTCGGGTTTTCGTCCAGGGTGCTTACTCCAGACGAGAGTCCTTTCTATATATCAAGAGGTTAAAAACAATATGACTGCAAATATTCCAACACTAGCAGTCTATGTTGACTATCAAAAGGCATACGATAAAGTATGGCATAAAGGTCTTGTTGTTAAACTCAATAGAATGGGTATACCCTTAGGACTATTGAAATTAATTATTTCTTGGTTGAATGATCGCCGAGCGTATGTTATATTTGGAGAGAATAAATCGAAAATTTTTTACACTCACATTGGTTTGCCTCAAGGCAGTAGTTTAAGTCCCTATCTTTTCATTGTCTATCATAGTGATCTTGTTACATGTTTAGGTGCTTTTTCAAGCCATATTTTCGCTGACGATCTCAACGTACTTATATCCCCACCTATATGTCGAGGATTTCAGCCGATGATTAATTTTTTAGAAGAAGAAGGAACAAAAATATGTAATAAAATAGCGTATTACTCCAAGAAATGGAAACAACCAGTTAATTTCTCAAAAACAGTAGTTCAGATTTTTCACTCCCAAGTACAGAATCCAGTAATTGATATCTATATGGAAGGTAAAAAACTAGAAGTAGTTAGAGAATTTAAATATCTTGGTCTTACTTGGACAAATAAGATGTCTTTGAAACCAACGATAGACAAAACACTTGAAAGCATTCAAAGAACGTTTAGTAAATTAAGATGGATGAAAGGTGGTAAAACCCTCTCAAAAGATGTCTTGCGAAGATGTTTCTTTGCCTTCAGTTTTCCATATTTTGCCTGGATATTTCCTTTCTACCCCTTCCTGCCCGAAACTCAAAAAGAATTACTTCTAAGGAAATTTAGAAACGGATTAAGACTGATTCATCGCTGTCCCTTTGCTCGAGCAACAGATCTTCTTCAAATAACAAATGAAGAGCCATTAGAAGAATACGTGAAAAGATATATAAAGAAACGATTAGAACGATTTGAAAGATCAGATTTCGGTCTTTCACTCTTTTACAATGATGTATTCTTCTGGGATACATTTCATAAAAATAAAAATGATCAGATGGGACACTTTTTTCGAATGAAACGAGTTAGACTTATGCGTGAAAGACATCAATCACTGCTTCTTCAATGGCTTGAGTTTTTATGTGTGTGAAGTTCTGCCATATGATTAATTGATATGTTACTCACATCATTCTTTTAATCTTTACTCCTCCTTTTTCTCCTTTTCTTTCTCCTTTTCGTATTATTACTAGCTTTTCTTTCTTTTTCTTTATCCTTTCTTTTTCATTTTTCACTTTTTTTTTCCTATGTTTTTACATTTTATCTACAGCACGTGGCTTATTATAATTTAATGATGTTTCTTGTATGCTCATATCGCGCATGGTTGTGCAACCGAACAGCTGTGAATGTATAAACCATTATTTGTAAGCACTTCCGAGTGTAACAATAAAGAAAGCGAAATCAAAAAAAAAAATCAGGTTATGTATTTTACTTGTTTTTTATTGCTACAAGCAGCAAATGAACTGTCAGATTTTACAATTTAATGTGAACATTAACCTTTTCAATAAATATTTGAAATTTTGAACGTACATAATAGTCGTGAAATATCAACTTTTAATTTCGATCACGATCACGATCACGATCACGAAAAAACCTTCTAATCACGCACGATCACGAAAAAACCTTCTAATCACGCGCGATCGGGAAAAAAGTGATCACGCAGTACACTATATAAAGCATAACTAAAATGTAAAAAAGAAACTTTTGGTTGCTTTTTTTCTCATCACTTTCGAGTGCTAAAGAAAGAGAAAGGAAGCAGCCGTAAGGTATTTGTTAAAGCAACAATTTATTCATTTTGTTCATATGGAGAACAGTGAAAAGAAGCTTCGACACAATGATGATGACAAATGTGAAATTTGTTGGGAGCAACCGCCAACTCGTACTACCTTGATTAATTGTGCACATAGTCAAAGTTTTTGTGAAAGTTGTATAAAATCATGGATCTGCGTCGGCCATCGTCATTGCCCAAAATGTCGTACACCTTGCCCTATAGAGGATTATGTAAGCCAATCCATGAAATAGATAGATTGTTTTTTATTGTAATATTTTTGTAGTTGGAAAAAACCAAAAACAATACATCAAGCATTAATAATGCATTTCCCAATATAAACTGTAGGCCAGCATCGTCTCAAAGACCACCAACAGTCAGTTACGTTGTCGATCATATTCTAGTTAGCTGTTCAATTGGATTATGCATTGGTTTAATAATATATCCAACTATTTTATAGTTGAACTAATATTTTTTCATAAAATGTATCATTGTATATATGAATTATATTTCCAATCTGCATATAAACATGAGATTTCTTTTCAATTTTATACGCTACTAGCTTCATCTTTTCAGCTCGTGTGTACGTTGAAAGAATCAATTTTTACTTTTCTATCCAGTTGTTTTTTGAATAAAAAGACTTTGTTCTTTTGAAAGATGTCATCTTACATATGTCAAAGTGTGTTATAACACAATTTCAATAAGCTACACTTACACGCATGACCTACTTATAACAACTCACGTTAGTTATTTAATATTCAAGTTTTTAAAAGTATGATATTGAAATATGTGCAAGATGTTTTAGTTTGGTTTCATGTCATTTGTCAGAAATTTGATTTTGATAAAAATGCTGTTCTTTAATTGAAACTCGTTAACCAGATATACTGTCTCTCTATGATATTTTCAATAGTTTTATTTATTCTATACTATAGCAGTTAGTTTTTTAAGAATCTGAGAGGAAAAAGAGTCCAATGCATTCTATTCAATGGTAGTGCTACTCTGATAAGGTTTTAATATCTTAGCAAAGATGCATACAAGATTTTGACATTTCAGAACATCGTCGATATATGTATCTTTAAAAAAGATTGTGATAATGGTGTTGTTAGAGAAATTGTCTATTTCAAAAAGAAAATCTTTTAAATTAGCCGAAATTGTCATGATCTTGTAAAAATGATCAGACATACATATAAACAAAATTTCAGCTCGTAATTCAATTTCTTCATTGATAGCTTGCTTACATACTGATAATTGAATAAAATAATAATAACTTGATAAGGAAAGATCACGGAACTTCGTTCTTTCAGATTTTTCCCAATCGAACCATCAATAGAAGAAAAAACCTTTTCTTGAATTTACATCAACAAATATAGATCATTGCCTATGTTATTTTCATAAAAAAATGAATACAAGAATAATTTATCTAATAAAACGTCCAACGCCATGTTTATATACACGTATGATCTAAGTTTTCGACGCTTTATCATTTCTATTAGGAAGTGGTCCTATCAGCATAAACCATGGCGGATAATATTCCATTTGTGAACATCCAGCTTTATATCGAATATCATGTATAACTTCTCCGCCTCCAAGATAAGCAGCCCAAAATCCATAAGTACCACCTGTAACTATTGCATGATGACATAATGTTAATGCCATCAAATCATCGCCTGGTGAAAATCTCGATGGAAGTACAAAAACTTTTCTAGCTTTTATGTCTCCTTCAAATATTTGTTGACAATATGGTCTGTCATCACTTGCAACAAGAAAACGAACATCAAAATTATGATAACGCCTTCGATAAATATTCATTGCACGACGAATATAACTATCATCAGATGAATAGCCAAGACCACGAAAATCCGTGCGACGTATATGAATACTTATCCATGTTACATTATAACGATTTTGAAAAGCTTGCCGAAGTTCTCGATGTGTTTTCGTAGGTAAACTTGGGCATTGTGGACAAATAACTACTGTCATATTAGTTAAATAGGCTGATAATCGACTTAATGTATCATCTCGAGAGCTGAAAAATTCACGAATTTCTTCCCGATAGGCATCAAAATATAAATAGGATTGCCAGTAACCAAAAATTTCAAGTGTATGAAATACATGTGGTATTAACATTTTAGGTAAAAATTCACAAATACTAAGTTGTTGGCTAATAGCTTTTAATTTATTGACTTCTTCAGCTGGCAATAACATCTTTTTATCTATAGGTTTCATTTGAAAATTACTCGAAAGCTCTTTAAGAATAGGTTGTGCTACAAATAATCGACAATTTTGAGCCCGGGCTAAACCATACGCACTGGCAAACATAAACATACGATTACCTAGACGACCGCCACTTTGACGTAATAATATATTACAGCGTATCCGTTCACATGGATTGTCTGACATATTGATAGTTTTAGATCCGGTAATATTATCACATAAAACTTCATCGAAATTTGTTGTTGTTGCCGTCGTCGTTGAAAGTGTTTGAGAGGCGAGTGTCGCTACTGTTATCGAAACATTCGATGAATTTTTTAGGGGTGTAATATGCAAACTTGTCAGTGATGTAATTGTTGAAATGGTAGTTGTTGTAGCTGCCGGTGTTGTTGCTGTTATTGTTGTTGTTTGTGTTGTTGTTATTGAAGTTTTCACAGTTGTATTTTTTACTGAAGTTCGTTTTAATATTTTAAATAAATTAGTATAAACGATATTTTGTGATTGAATAAACTTTTGATTTGATGAATCGAAGAATTGAAATGTAAGCATAACTATCACTACAGTTAGTACAATATAAAATACTTTTCTTTTTAATGATGATTCTATACTTGTTACATTCAAATGATAAGAAGTATTCATCTTAAAATTATTTTTGCAAATTTAGCAGGATTCATATAAACATAATCTAAAGTTAACAATCAGGCATTTTCACATCAATTAAGTATATCAAGAAATTTTATACTAGGTAAAAGAATAAGACCACATAAAGTAAGTACTCTCACCCTCTAAAATATCTCGGCCTTTTTTTGTGTTCGACACAAATAGCAGGTAATCACTGATAGTAATAAGAGATTTTATTCTAAGACAGCTCTTAATCGAACGTTCGATACACATCCATACTCTCTTAAGATAGCATAGAATCAGTCGAAAAATCAATTCAGAGATCTTGCAAAATAAACTCTCCTAGAACTGCCAAGATTTGTAACTTACACATTTTCAACGCAACCCAAGAAGAGAAACATTTGTAAAAAGGCGTTTAACACAACGGGAATCGCGATTGTGAGCCATTAACAACTCATGAACAAACGCAAGAAACGGATTTTACGCAGAAGTTTCACTGATCGAGCGTGCAAACGGCTAAAATCTCTGATTAACTAGAAAAACAGAGAGAACAACGCATTATAACTTGTTCATCTCAGGATTCAAAAGACGCGATTTTTTAAAATTGGTTGCTTCTTACACAAACTGATTTAAAAGTATTTTGTTGTGAAAGTTAATGATTTTATGCGTTTCAATGCATTCATATCGATTTTTCAGAAGACAAAAAAAAACAATTGATAGATAAAACGCAGTTATTTCGTTTTTCTCTACTAGCAACGCGTTCTAAGTGTTCGATTCTAGATATCTTAATGGCTTTAAAAATCAAATGTATTTGAAATTCATTTATTAAAATAAACATTTTAACGAAGCTATCTAATGATTTTAACTTTTAATCGAAATCAAGAAAATCATGAATTATTTTTGAGTTTTTTTGAGAGGCTGGATTTTTAACGTCATTCGAACAAACTAATTGGAAATCTTGCTTAAAAAAACTCGATATTTTTATGTACTAGTTTACAAGTTAGGAAGATGAAAAAATAAACAAATTTAAAGACTCTCACACTTTAAAAGTCGATCTTGCACCAGATGTATTCCATTTATATAAAATGTTCTGGATACTTTGGGACTGTAGTGGAGAAGCTATGATTGTATTATTAGGCCTATATCATGACTTTTCCGCGAATATTTGGCAATCAAGGATAAAAACATATCTCATGTTGGCTATATAAACTTCTCTAAGAACCTTTACTCTTCAGATTTAACTATGCTTTTCCTTGATATTGAATATGATAAATTCCTTCTTAATATTTTAACTTGTTAAGACGAGAAAAGATAAAAAAATTCAATGTTTTGAAAAATTCACAAAAACGTGTTCATCAATATGAAAGTCATTCTTTATTTAACTGACAAACATTGATTCAACAAAGGGTCTCTATCGTATACTAGACTTGAAATTCTCATTTAACTGAAAAGGTATGACACTAGTCGACGATCTTGCCTTCGTTCTGTCCAGATTCTTGTTCTTCTTGAATGCCAGACAAGATTCTTTGTAATCATAATATTCAGGCAAGATTCTTCGCGACAGGAACGAAACAAGATTCTTGTCTGTTATTCAAGATTTTTTGAAATTCAGACAAGAATCTTGTTTCTTTCTTCGCACAAAGAATCTTGTCTGAAGTTCAATATGAGATGAATCTTGTCTGATTCACCAGAGAAATATGAATCTGGAGTAAATTGCAAGACATTTCAAATTTCTTGAAATTCAGACAAGCTTCTTTAACAGAAAAAATATAGATAACTAAATGAGTGGGAAGGTATACTTACTTTGAATACATTGTATGAAGGAACCTAAATAGAAAAAAGAAAATAACTAAAAAGAAAATTTGAATAGTTACGTTTTTATTTTGAATTTTATATCGAATTAAATATAAAAAAAGATGAAAATGTAAGTAAATGATAGTTATAGTTTCCCTATAAGCTGTTGAGATGGATAAAATTTAAAAACGAGACGTGCGTAGATATTTTGGAAAGTATACTACTTGCATTACTTTGACCAAGGGGGAAAGTGCTGGCTCCAAGCACCAAAATTTACTATAAAGTGCCGGAGGTGCTGAGCAGGTGCTGAAGGTGCTGAATAGGTGCTGAAGGTGCTAAAGGTATTAGTAGTTGTCGAAAAGCTACAGAAAAATAAAGGAGCAATATACAACAGGATGACTTAATTCTCTATTAAACTCATTCTTTTCCCACAATCTTGCTGAATACACTAATTCCATAATCAAATCAGAGGTGTGCCAAATTCAAGGGGGAAAGTGCTGGCACCCAGCACCGAAAAGTGCTGGATAGGTGCTGAGGTGCTGAATATATGCTNCTTTTATATTAGCTTATTTATTTTTAACGAAGAACGATTGTAGCTAATAACACATCAAATGGAGTACTCATATAAGAAACTTCTTTATTAGTTTCATGAAAAATTTAAAAAAATATTTACTTTCCTTCCATATCATTCGATATAAAAACTCGTTCCATTCCCATCCCACTTGTTCGAGACCCGTACTTCGAAATAACCATAGCGAAACTCTCTTTCTTTCTTTTCGAATATAGAACGAAAGAAAAAAATCAATTTCCCTATGTCCCAATGTTTCGAGTATTAAAGCAAATATCTTTTCAGAATCTTTCTCATTTCTCTCCCTTCAATCACGAAAGATAGACACAATTAATCTTGGAAACAAAAACGTGCTTTTTGAATCTACATAGTCAATCAAACTATCTCATATCACTCACTAATAAAATTTTATTTCTATGAATCACTCTCTCATAACATTTATAGAATAATCCACAATTCCAATCTCAACTAGATTCTAAACTCTACTGCCACACTAGTGCCTACACATAAAATCATGTCAGTTTTCTTGTTTTTAACAAAAATTGACTATGTTGAGCAACGGGTCCCTAACTAATAAGAGTAAAGATCTAAATATTTTCATCTAAAAAATTAATGTGTTTTTCCTCAAAAATTTAATGAAAATTTTGAATTCAGAATCAACGTGATGTTCTACAGAGTACATTTCTGCATTGATAAATACGATAATTTATCGACAAAGTATTTTCTATGGGCATTGAACTTATTATCAGACTTCTATCCTTTGACACATTCTCGCAATTGAATTATAGCCTGCTTGATTTCGAATTTGAACTAGTTACAAAAAAATAAACAAATTTTACTTTACAAAAATTTTATAGTAAACAAGTTTGTGTGTTTAATTTTAAGAACATTATATTTATTCCCGTTTTAATAACTCTTCCACAAATATATATATAGACGATAGATTTACAAGCGGTTCAAATCACGTAAATCTATTTTTATTAGAATAATTTTAAGTTAATGTGGAAGAGAGTATGAATGTTCAAAACTCCACCGTAACACCATACGAACGTAAAAACCTAATACGTTGTGACAGCGAGATATAAAGCGGCTCCTTTCCTTTTTTGAACTTTTATCATGAAAACGCATTTCAGAGAGCCAACAATGTTCGAAAACTAGGGTCCTGTGGGAAACATCTCTTTCTGTATTTTCCCTTCTGGTTTCCGGCGGGAATCGGGAATGGGAGTTTCCGTGGAGATTTCTGGAAAAGAGAACGGAAATGGAAATTTTATAAAAATATGCCGTTCCCAAAAATCTGTTCGTCTTATTTTGTTTTACTGAAATGTATCGATGTAACCGTTTTTTATTTCATATAATTAACAAAAAAAAATAACAAATATCTATTGAAAAATTGCATAAATTAATTTGTTACTTACCACATCATTCATCATTTTCTTTATCATCATAATCATCATCGAAAGTACAATCATCAAGGCTATATTGTAAAACTGTAATATCTTTATCGTCTCATTTCAAGGTTTTGTTTTTTTCATGCCTGTTTCCATGTGGAGCTATTTGCTCTTTTTCATAATTGTTCAATCATCACCGAATATGAAAGCTTTTCATAGTAAACGTGAATAGTATCAATTGTTAGAGAAATGACTAGAGCGTAACCCTAGTCGAACATCTTGTAAACAAGATCTGCAAATCTTGGGATCTTGGAAAGATAATTTCTATGTACATATCTTAGTTGTATCAGATAAATCTGTACTTAAGATCTAGGCAAGATCATGGAAAAAATATCGTCTACCATTATATTCTGATAAGATTTTCAGCGAAACAGAAAGCGACATCATTAGTGTATTTACATGCTCTCTAGTCATTCACCGTTTTTTTAATGCATACACAGCTGTATATAAACAGCATGCTTGAAGATACGAAGCACAAATTTTCAAAACTTTTTTTCTCAACTATTTCTCGATTATTCGAGAGAATGCTGATCTCGATCGATGATCGAGAGAGGACTACCCTAATTGGTCCGCCGGATATCGGACCAACTTATAGCCAGTCAGATCCCAACATCTGACTTGCTGGAGTTATTCGGGAGGAATAGTTAAAATGAAAATAAATTGAAAAACTTTTCAAGAATGCAGCAGGTTTTATTTTATGGTGCATCCAAGATTTTATGGATTCTTATGTAAGATCTGTAATTAGATCATGGGTACAAGATAATACAGTTATCTCGTACCTAAATTTTCAAGATCTTGTTTACAGGATATTTGCCTATAGGGAATTTCTCTCATCCATACGTATACTGAGATGTGCGATATTTTATATCTCGCAATGAGCTGCTATCAACAGTCAATAAAAACCTTTCAATGTGAAAAACTTTCGGAAAAGGGGACGGGAGCAAATTATTCTTTTTTTTTCACGGGAACGGGAACGGGAAATGGGAATTAAAAAATGTCGTTCGCACAGGACCCTACCGAAAACACCAGTTATAATATTTTTTATCGGGAACGCGTTAAAATTGTTTTCTTAACACCGTTACAACGAGGTTAAAGTAAAAGAAAAAAATGCTATGTTTAAACGCGATTTTCTGGGCATTTTTAAATCTCAGAAATGCGTTGAGCAAAAGAAAAAGCTTTAACGCATCAAATGCATATTTCTGACTGCA